GAAATAAATCATCATGGACATGTATCCTAACATGTATAATCTATGTACCAAGTTTGAATGAAAACTGACAAAGCATGTCCAAAATACAACATTTTCAAAAAACAAGATGGCTGCCAGTCGGCCATTTTGAATCGAATCGCTAAACCACTGCATGTGCATATGTCCCACATAAAGTACTAGGCACATGCAAAGAATGAACGGAATGGTCCAAGGGATTCTGAGATATGACTCCAGACGGACGCACGGACGCACAGACGCACGGACGGACAGAGACCGAATTATAAGTCCCCGTTTTCGGACTTCGTCCGAACGGGGACTAATTAAATAATTTTTAAGGTCCAAGTGAAGTTTGAACATTTTTGTTGTTCAGGTTTTTCTTTCTCCTGCTTCCTCTGGCCAAGAACAGTAACCAATCAAATTGTCTATATCATTTGTAAAATAAACAGGAAAACTAAAAGACTTCTTTTTATCAGAATGGGCTCATTCAAAAACATGAATTGACTTTTGCAATTTTGTGTGATGTGCTTGTGTGTACATAAAATAAACTTTGCAAAGATAATAACATGCACTACAAAAACAAAAGAGAATAGAGCGAACACATTTGGGCACACAGAAGGCAACAATGGAATACGTGTTAGTTTTACTAACCTTGGTGAGAGGGCTGATGATGTGGATGATGGTTATGATGAGCTGATTCAGAATGATGCATATTGAAAGAGAGATGCTGAAACAGTGACGACTGCTCTTTATCTTTGTCGGCTTTACCGCCTTTACCCTTTCTGCTGGGAACTGAAAGAGCAAAAGGAAGTCAATGCCAAGGTTACTCAGCAGTCCAGAGGATGTGCATACTATTTACTTATTAGCGTATTATTAATATTTTATTAATTAAACATAAACCACAATACTGTAAACATTTTGCGATTTGATGACGTTTACAAGCTTAATTTCACTAATTAGAAATAAAAGTTATTGTTACTGAAAGTTGCATTCTCACTTTTGAATGTTCTTCATAAAAACTCTCACACATGTAATCATCATATAAAGGGTTTTGTGCATTTCACAAAATCATGAAATCCTATTTAGAAGGACCACCTAAAATATATACAAACGGCCTTGAGTGATTACAATAATGGTTTGATTTGGTAATTACACTCGGTGCTAAGCCAACTCATCAGTTAAAAGTGGGGAGTGCATATATGTTGGGAGGGTGTACATTGTACATTTTCATAGGAAGGGTGAGGCTGTTAAAATAACAAACATTTTTTTAATATGAAATGAAGCGCAGTCTAGATACTGTTGTAGTATTTAAGATATTTTGAATATAAACTGAATGATGCTTAACTGGCACAATCCACAATAGCTTATAAGAAATCTGGACTGCTGGAGATATGAACTGAAGCAACATTTGCATGTTAAAATGAGATGATTTAGCATGAAGTGCCACAATACAAGGCTACATAATGTTGCACAGATCTCCTGCATTGTTAGTGTCCAACGCATGGCTACAGTTAATGTATTATAAGTTGAACTCAAATTGGCCAAATATATATGCACATTTTATAATAATATTTTTTACATTTCTAAATTTACGATGTTCACATCATGGAATATAATAAAGTATAAAAGAAAACCAGTGCCAACCCCTATCCATCCACTGATAATGAACAACTGGCAGTCAGAATAGACCATTTTCCGTACACTGCGAGAATCCCGCGTTATGCGTGAAATCGAACGTAAAAACAGGACAAACAAAGGTCATAGCGTCGTAGTGGCGTCAAACATCATGTAGGATTCGACAAACGCGAAAGTACTTTCGGGGACATTTCCATGCTTAATAATGTGCTGTCCACATTTGATGATAGGCAATTTGATTAAGTAAGGGTATTCGGAAGCAATATTCCTGTCGAAGATCGGCCGGTTGATGTGAGCTACGAAATAAAGAAATTCTAGTTCAAAATCAAATCGTTCGATTTTTGCGGCAGACGTTCGACGCGCGTCTTTCATGCATCTCGCGAGATCTTGCAATTGTACGGAAAATCCTCTATCTATGATTAGTATCCAGGGTTACTTGTGTGATTACATGTAGCTGTACTGAACAAGAATGACAATGATGTGTCCATGGTGCAATCTCACAGATGATTCTCTTTATTATTATACTGTAAAATATTTTCATTATTGTCTCTTGAAATTAATTTTCGCTATTTATGGTGAAGGAATGATTCAGTGAAAATAAAATTCAGCGAATATATCTTTTTCCCTGTCGACCATTGTAAGGTTATGGCATTCATGCAAATTAAATGTCTCAAGAGTAACTCTTTGTAAAAATAACCCCAGTGGAATTGTAACCAAGAAATTGTGAAATATTTCCCTGTCTTTTATGATATTGAGTAATTTATACAAGACATGTCTATTGTTTCAACGATAAAACATAAATGTGTTATTGCAGAAAGATTCTAAACTGCTGAAACGCTTACCTTTAAACGGGAGTTTCTTCTTCCACCATGACTTATTTCCTTTATCTGGACTTTCCCCACCATCCTGCTGTGAAGAAACACACAGCAACAATATGGGTGTACATTAACACATATGGCTCACAGGACTTTGTTTTGGAAATTTTACAATTTTCAGCTCTGCTACGGTTCAATGTGGATAAATTTCCAAAAAGAATAACTCAGAAAGCGGTGTTGGCATCTCAAGTTGCTTTATTATTTTTATTTTACAAAGTTCAAACTATCCTAAGCAAGAATGTATTTATAAAGATATCCAGTCATGACCTCATCAATAAACCATAGAAACATTCAGTTTTGTTTGCTTTATGCTTTATTTTCGCTATTTTCGTTATGAAATCCAGCGAGTACACCTTTTTCCTATATTTTACATTCAACTCACCAAAAATCATTGAAATAAATTTCACACAAAAACCCTAACAATCTTTTCAGCAAAAATTAATTCCAGCTAAAATAAAGTATTTTACAGTATTTCAAGTATGTCTCTTGTTTCTAAATGCAAGATTTTCAAAATTAATTCTTGTAGAGTGCTTGAAGACTATTGCGTTTGACAAATAATTTATTTAAATACTGTAAACCACTTTTAAATTAATTTCATCATGAAATTCTGTAGCAGTGACAAATTGCCAGGGGTCATATAACATTGAGTGTCAGTGAGTTTCTCTGAAATGTTTTTTCAGGAATGCTATAAAATCTCAAATTCATAGTGGCAAAAATTAAGTGGTAAGTATTACATTAGAAAGGCTGTACCGTAAAATCTGCATTAGAAGCCAATTGAATAATTGAGAACCAAAAAAAAACACCATTTCTCATGTATGTGTAGATGCTCTAATAAAAGTCACACTCTGTTGCATTGTACCATTTTAATAGAAACTGAAGCTTTTATACAGATTTTACAGTAGTTGTTCTGTAGCACATTTCATGTAAACAGAGTACTGTATATGCTTAATATAGGCTGCATAGGACTCGTGTCAAACATGATATGTTGCCTATAAACATTAAAACATATTAAGTTTTGGGTAGCATACATGTACAAATGTAGGGCACTATCATGTGTCAATGGGTTAACATTTCACATTCCTCATGTAATATGTTACACCATACATCTAATAATTTAGTATATTAAACTCAAGATGACAAGCACACAAAGGGTTTTGACTCTACACATTCTTCTAGTATATGTTAAAATAGGCACAATACCCATAATACCCACATTCAACATCTATATCATGCTTTAGACCCATCCGTCATTCACACACTTACTTACCCTGGGATCAATACCCGCGACATTGACTGCACCATCATTGCTAACAGACTTTCCACCATTTACAATCATATTACTCTCAAGGGGTATCTCCACAGATCTGTTCGTTCCAGCACCACTAGAGTTACTTGATGAGCTAGCTAAACTACTTGTTCGGCTTTCGTCTCCACATCCCCCAGACTCAACAGAGCTGGGAAATGCATCTGGTAACAGTGAATCGGAAGCCTCGTTTGACTTTGTGTTGCTCTGCATCTCCGGGTGGCCGTGTGAATGTCCACTTGCATGCTCACCGTAAAACGGGTTGCTCCGCCTATTTGGTGACTGAGCCAGGTTTCCAGATACATTTTCAGGTGTACTTGGTGACATTGAATTACTGGTACCGATACCACTGTCACGTTGACTACGACTGGCAAGCAGAGTGCCATCACCCCCACCAGATGATGAAGGAAACGCATTCCCACTTGGAGCGAATGGATCAAATGAATCCAGCAAACCATCTTGTTCATGTGCAGTGGCACCACCTTTTCTACCAGTCTCTAGATTTATAAATCTGTGAGTTAGTTCATCCGCATGTTTTCCCCTTTCTGTTGTCGGAGGTACGACCCTTGGAATGGCATGGTGGGGTCTCTCTCCAAATAAGTTGCCTACACCACCAACAGCTCCCATTGAGTCAAGTACATCAGATGGTCTAATGGATTCCAATGCTCTGGTACTGTTATCTATAGCATCAAAGTACTGATCATCCTACAAAAAAAAAAAAAAAAAAATTAAAACACATTCATTACAAGATATTACTGACATGCAGCCTTTCGGCTGAGATAGCTATGCTGTTAGCAATGCACATTTCAATTGAGAATTGAAAATATCTGAGAGAGGTCCACTTCAGATACCTATACGTATAATTATCAAAGCCATCAGACTAGTGGAAATATCACAAAAATATTCATCAAAATTGAAGATATCATCAAGAAATGAGCAAATCTAAGAGCGGTCTACCCAAAATACATATATCAATGTAATCAGCATTGTGGTTTTGAAAAAGTAAAAAGTTGAGATGTGGACACAATGAACAATTTGTAATATGATTAGCTCCACTCCACAAGTCAACCGCAGAGCTAAAAATAGAACTGACATAATCATTGAATAAAATACAGCACATTAAACAGATTAAATGAAGACAACATGTGCAGACATTAAAGACATTTCTTTCCTGTGATTTTCAGTGTTTTGTTATGAATCTCAAGGATGTTTATTGCCTGAACTACCCCGGTAAGCCCCAGAAAAATCACTTCTACACCACAAGTACGTCTGTCGATATTTTAGTTTTTGTATACTTTTTTGTCGTTGTGAATAATTACATGACATAGTGCTCAGTGATGTCATCTGAGTTGATGAATAATTACATGACATAATGCTCAGTGATGTCATCTGACTTCTTGAATAAGTAATCACATGATATATTGCTTAGTGATGTCATCTGACTTCTTGAATAATTACATGACATAATGCTCAGTGATGTCATCTGACTTCTTGAATAAGTAATCACATGACATGCTTTGTGATGTCATGACTTCTTGAATAATTACATGACATGTTCAGTGATGTCATCTGACTTCTTGAATAAGTAATCACATGACATAATGCTTTGTGATGTCGTGACTTCTTGAATAATTACATAATATAATGCTCAGTGATGTCATCTGACTTCATGAATAAGTAATCACATGACATAATGCGTTGTAATGTCATGACTTCATGAATAATTACATGACATGCTCAGTGATGTCATCTGAGTTGATGAATAAGTAATCACATGACATAAGTGTGATGCATTATGGGAGCACTCATATGTAGTAGAATAAGACATCTACTCATTGAATTATTGGAATCACATTTCGATAGCTTGTTCACCTAAGCTTACAAACTGATAAGCAATGTTGGAAGAGCTTTGTATTCATGGTGCTGTATGTACTATATTTAAATATATTTAGTGTAACTTTATTGAAAATGGGACCCTACTTGTCTTAAAATTTCTCTTACATGTACATACTGCAAGATTATTAAATATAAAGTTTTAAATTTCACTGAAAAGTGAAATCTACTAAATTGAATTCAAATAAACAAATTATAATAGAACACATCTCTTTACATCGGAAAATAGAATTTAACCGAGTGATGATGAAATATCGAAAAAGTAGAATGAGCTAACAATGACAATTGTTATTATTACAGGATGACACAATTGTTGAAATTTAAACGAAACACAAACCTCTCTGTTCCTTTCATGTTCATTGGCTTTGTCATCCAATAAATCACCTTCCAGGGTACTATCATCCTGTGTTTCTTCCAACTCATGTAGCCTTTCTTCCGGGTGCTCAGAATCACTTTGTAGAACATCCACGCTCCAAGTCTCACTCGCTGTCTCAGACAACTCTCCAGGGTGCCGCACTTCCAGCAGTCCCTGTGCTCCAGGATAATCAACTTGCTCTGACTGAGCCTCAGCAATCTCTTGCAGTCTTTCCATTGGATTGTGTTCTGGTGGAGGCTCCGACTGGTCACTAGCCAGGACATCGGTACTCCATGTTTCACTCCATGTTTCTTTTAGGAGAAAGACAAAAAAAAAAGTAATTTACTGTTCTCGTTATCCTTGCATAACTTAAAATTAAAAAACTTTTGAATTTAGACAATTATTAATTCAAATTTCAAGTTCAAATGTATTTTTAAATTTTGTATGGTACATTTGTACACACTGTAAACCGCTTAAATTTGCAAGACAAATTTTTATGAATTTCAGTGAAAGTATCAGTAAAAATTTGTCAGTGACAAATGCCATGAAATCCTGTAATCAAAAATAAGAACAGTTTACAGTACACATATATAGCATGGCGTGACATCTCACTCACTGAACTTATTTTTACACTCAAATGATGTCACATCAAAAAAGATAATACAGTTGCATGTTTTCATTCTCCAATGTCACAAAGACACAATGACTTACCTACTGCGTCCATCTGTGATTTCTCTTTTTCTAAAGGCTGAATTTCAAATTTGCCAAACCGATCTGAAATATCGTGTGGTTCGCTCTCCAGCATTTCCAGTGCTCTGGCAGCATCGCCACTACTAGCAGTTGACCTAGGGGTATTACGACCACTAGCACAACTACTGATATTCTCCAGTCCACTCGTATTACTGATATTTTCCAAATCCATGGAATACACAGAGTTAGATGCCCCAATTGACATAGACTCAAGGTTGTCGCTGACGGCCGATGCATCAGCTGAGAAACGGAGCTGCTTCTCTGGCATTTCCGCATGTAGTGAGGGGCTAGCTCGGTTTCCACGCTCCAATGTTTTGGTCTTTGTTTTTGTTTCAGCCGACTCAAGTACCTGTAAAAATAGGCACACTTTTTAATGCTACTATATGATAACTGATATCAAATATTTTTCCCTTTTATTCTTTAGCAAAATAAAAAGAAAACTCCCTCCCTCAACAAAAACCATTCGGCTTGGTTAGAGGCCATGTGTTTATATGTGCAATCAAACACATTACCAAGACCATCATATCTCAGACAACTCCACAGTGAACCACACTTCCAACCTTTCCTGTGCTTTGGGATAATCAACTTGCTACAACTGAGCCTTGGCAATCTTCTTTTCATTAAAATAATTAAGATCCTATAATTAAAATACATGTATGTACAACGAAAATTTTAAATATTACTGCCTGAATATGGGCATTTGTGCCAGAGCACAAGAGATTTTTAGTCTGACATTCAGAGACCAATGCCTCTCAGATGACAAACATAGATTTTTCTCCCTAATATTATCACATATACATGTATCCCCCAGTTACATAATGTGCACATTTGAGAGTGCCTCCATCTTGAAAAATTGATCTCTGTGTAGCAACTGTCTGCATGAGTGGTAAGTCATTACAAAGTAAAATACCCAGATGTTACTAAGACATGTATTGAATTTACGTAACAGTGAAGCCATGCAACAACAAGCAGCCTGTCAGCGGAGATAGCTCTACTGTTAGCAAGGCACATTTTTAAAAAGAAAGAACTGAAGATATCATTAGAAAATGAACAATATGTATAGTATGTATAGCAATTAGACTTGCTGTTTTCAACAAGAATTCAAAAATATCACTTTTTACAAAAAATATTCT